GAAGAAGAAGAAGAAGAAGAAGAAAAAGAAGAAGAAGAAGAAGAAAAAGAAGAAGAAGAAGAAGAAGAAGAAGAGTAGTTCATAAACCCAAAAGCAATTTTGTGTTCAATAACACAAAGGGAATCAAGCCAAACCGAAACAATACCAAGTAGACATAGAAATGTACAGGCGACTTGATAAAAGAAATGTAGGAACAGATACTAACTTCACTTTTCTAAACCATCTCGGTTCAAGCCTTTCGGCCCGTTCCCATGGCAATGGCAAGAGAGGCATACAAAAAACAACAGAGGGATAAGAAAGCAAAAAAAAAAAAAAAAAAGGATGGGGGAAGGGGGTCGCTACCACCCCCACCCCTGAAAACAGAAATACATGTATAAGATTAAAAGAAACAGGTATACCCCCCCCCCCTAAAAAAAAACCACCATTTTGCACAAACAGAATAACAGAGAGAAACGACAGGGGAGGCGCCTATCCCAGGCGACCAATTATCGCCCACGACCATAAACTACCTTCACAGGCCGGTGTTTGTGATGAAAGCATTAAGGGGAAAGGTGAAAGAAAAACACGAATTTTATTCATCCCAAAGGGTACATTCCGCTAGAATAGCTTATGCTTTAGTTTTTGTTTGTTTGTATTCCCATTGTACATCGTATTTCGTGTAATGCATTTATACAACTCTCTTTCTCTCTCTCGTGAGTGTGTATATGTGTGTGTGTATGTGTGTGTGTGTGTGTGTGTGTGTGTGTGTGTGTGTATGTGTATGTGTGTGTATATGTGTGTGTGTGTATATGTGTGTGTGTATATGTGTGTGTGTATATATGTGTGAGTGTGTGCGTGCGTGCGCACGCGCGTGAATGTGTGTGTGTGTGCGCGCGCACTAAATACACAATAATATAATACATTTTCACATGCTCATCGTAGCTGTTCACCGAGGAGCTGTGTATGTTACTGACAAAGCTAACGAGCGATGGAAGAACACCCACCACACTAGCCACTCATCCAAAAATAATCACCACAGTCTTAAACTGATACGGTACGACAATTTCATGCACTCCTATATTTTATTTTTAAATTGAGAGCGCGTGTGGGGCGGAGGAAGAGGAGACAAAATTCCCATAACACCAACAAAGTACAAAATGTACACATTAGCCTTCCCTTGCATATAACCCAAAAAAGCTGAATCAAAACCAACTAATTGAACATCTATGACCTTGAACGTTAATATATTATTTTGAATAATACCTGATGGGGACATTTTTGTTTCACATTCAAACAACAATGAGCTACAGCTCTCTATGCTGACTGTCAGCTTATTATAATGCTTATTGTTTTGTTTTCTTTCGCACACAAGACTTGAATTCCGGATTTTCGAGATTTTTAAAGAAATATGTGAATTCAACCAAGTCTTCCGTGCATAGTTGAAAGGGGTGCTAGTGCATTGGATCACATGACACTGACTGACTCAAATTGCAAATTTAAAACATTTTTTTAACAAATAAAAAGCTTGCAAAAACACACACACAAAAGAGCACAGTAAAAAAAAAAATATATATATAATGGGCAAATCCCACTATTTACACATCAGGAAACAGTGAACAGCATTATAAAAGAGGCCCGAAATCTAGACCAGATGGTGCCACCGTCTGCTGCAGCTGTCAGTATCTTGATGCTTTTAAGTTCACCGACATTAACTGTATTGTATGAATTTTTCACCTGAGTTTTTCATAAACATGAATGTCAGTTTGAACCAAGAAGAATTGAGTATAGAACTTTCAAAACAAAATACTTTCTTTTTTTTTTTTGCTTCAGCGTTTTTTGTGAGCTTGAAGAGGAAGTGATGGGTGGCAGTAGGTCATTCATCCCAGATGCTTTCTAAAAAATACAGGCTTCTATGAATAAATACTTTGACTATTTATTGGCAAAACGTTCCTTGGAAAAAGACTTGGTCATTCTGTGTCTGCTTTATTCATCAATTATCACAGGGTCAGCTCAGACTCGTGTGTTGCTTTTTGTAAATTTGTCCTTATGCCATTATCTATTTCTTTGTCAAAATTTCTTTCACATTTTTTATAAACTTGATAAGCATAATTATAATATTCAGTGGCACTAACTGCTTTCGAATCAAGGATTTAATGACTCTACAGTATTAATTAACCTCTAGCTAACTCTTTACTGGTTACCACACTTAGTAGGAAAACCAAATCTCTGAGATTAAGTGTTAACTTCAGATAAACTGTTTACTTTCTGATCCAGACAGATGAAGGAGAGTATAAAAGAATGAGTGAATTAACAATAAAGGAAAAAGAAAATCAGCTGCTTTCTTTCTTCCTTTTTTCGGGGGGAAACACATTTACTAGAATAAAATATGCAATGAGAAAATGTTATAAAGAGTGGGAGGTAAAAGTGATAAACAAACAAACATTGCCTTACTTGATCCAGTCTGAGGATTTGAGAGCAGCTTTGAGCATGGCACACCTGTGCTTGGCAGAGACCAGATCCTGCAAAGTTAAAACAATTGAACGGTTACAGAAAATTTACTTTCAACATGTACAGCTGAAGCAAACAAACAAAACAACATAAATAAAACCAAAGGTAAATGCTAAATTTTGCATTATGAATTGGTATCTAAAGGAGCAAATACTCTCTAAGAGAAACGCACATTGCTCAAAAACAATTTTTACACCATCATCAACAAAAATTGAGATCACTCAGCCTGCAAGGGCCAACCCGAGCTGAGAGGGATACAATTAAGTGGCAGAAAAGACCCGAGATAACCAATAAAAATCCCTCCTCCTCCCCACTCTGGAATCAAACTTGGGTCTCCAGCATGCGACAGCAAAGTGCCTAACTGGTACACTATAGACTCCAGTCACACTGCTCAGCCTTTTCCCATACAGTTAACCTCTATGCTTTTAACTTCCCCGTAAAATGGTGATGACATCCCTCATTCCGAAAACTATAAAACCGAAATTATAATGAGTCTGAATAAAAGGAAACATATAAATATGTTTCAACATAACAAAAGCTAACATATCAGTATTTCTGTTCAGAATTAAAAGAAATCTGGGAGGCCCCTTACAACAATGTAACTTTATTGTTAATTAAGAGGAGGGAGCTCTAACCTTTAGATCCATCTTCAACAAAACTGAGACAAAGAGGCAGAAAGCCTTCAAAACGTCACAAACAATTTAAATTCAAGAATGCTCCTGGAGACTTGAACCAGAGTCAATCGATCCTTAGCCCAACATTATCTCAACTATCCCCTTTCTCAACAGAAGAAACCCTCAGACGAATAATACACATTTGAAAAGTATATGGAGAAGTCATTCATTACGGTATAAAAACAGACCGTACCCACATTGAGAAAAGGACAACAAAAAATTCTAACTGACTCTACTGTTCTACTGGTACCAATATAGGTCAAATAATACCAGGGAGCGGGTCAAAACAAAGCACATTACTTAAATTACAGTAAAAAATGAAACTCAGAAATCACAAGAATGAAAATGAAGATGGGCTGCTGATGCTGACTCTGCACACATAATTTGTTAAAATGGTGCACGGAGAACCTTTAAAAAAAAAAAAAAGAAGTCTAGACAAGCAGACATCGATTTATTCATACATGACATAGCAATGGATAGACTGCTCGAGTTACATAACAAGTCAAACACAAATATAAAAAATTCTGGACAACACAGAAAAAGGTACATTTAGACCTTTTTCACCCCACAGGTAAACAAAAAACAAAGTTGACTTACAAATACATTCTTTCTTCTGGTTTAGTGACAGGTTAATTTTTTTAAATATATTTTTAAAAACTACTTACAACTGGAAATAGGGGCTAGCTGATTGTAAGTAGGTTTTAACATTAGTTTTAAAATGATGGGGCTTTGTGGTTAGATACCATGACCCTTCGAACACTGACTTTTCTTTACAATCTCATAAAGAAGAACCCAACTTCATTCAGTATCCGTTACATCCTATTACCCCCATAATGTTACAAAACACATTACTGTGCAGTCTCATTCGAATGTTGTACACTGACTAGAGTTAAGTATGCACATAGAACTTTTATCCTTTGTTTTAAGTACGAAAATAGTACTTTGTCAGTAGTGTTAAGAAAACACACTCTAGATTCTACTTTGTGTCTGTTGTGGTAAGTGCAAACATTGAATTTTTTGCTGTAGTGTTCGGTACACACATAATATTACTTTTTGACTGTTGTGTTAAGCGCACACACTGTACTTTTGTCTGTTGTGTAAAGTATAAACATGGTACTTTTGCTGTTGTGTTAAGTACACACATATAATACTTTGTCTGTCGTGTCAAGTACAAATATAATACTTTAGTTGTTGTGTTAAGTACGCACATAATACTTTTTCTGACATGTCAAGTACGCATATAGTATATAGTACTTTTGTCTGTTGTGTTAAGTACAAACAAGTATATTTATCTGTTGCGATAAGTACACACATAGTACATTTATCTGTTCCGCTAAGTACACGCATAGAGTACTTTTGTCTGAACCTCAAGGAAATAAGTACTCAGACTCAGTGCAGCTGAAAAATGAAAACTAAAAAGATCTTCTTTGCATATGTGACAACATTTGTTATGATCACCTCCAAAATAAGCTGCGACATACCTTTTTTTTGTATCCATCACTTACAGGAGACATTATTCCTCCAGTTACCTGGTACCGTCCAGTCTTATTCAGAGCATCCCGAGCAATTTCTGGAAGTGACAAAAAACCCTTGTTTCAGTAATTGAATAGAAATGTATTATCAACACAAAAGAGGTAAAAGTACTTTTTAAACTCTTAATCTCCAGGGAGGAGGGGTCCCCACGTTGCCGGGGTCTGCTTTTGGTACAAAACCTAAAAGTGACAAATGCATCATTTCATTGGACAATAAATTAAAACAAATGAACCTTGTTTGATAGTTCTTCTTCTAATGAAAAAACTTCTGGTAAAAGAGACCCGATTTTGGCAACTGCAGAAACTTAAGTTAAGGTCGAAGTCATTGTAAAGGAATGTGCCGGAGATAAGGAGTTACCAACTTCCACAGATTTGTGATAAGTGTCAAAACACTGTAAGTAGACATCAGTCATTTTTTGCAATTTATACTTTTTTTTTAAAGGCACAGATTCTAGATCTAGTTATAGTCTAACATTAAATTCTACAACTGGGACCTCAATGCAAGAATGCCTCCTAGCATGAAAAAAGCTGTTCCATCATGTCAATATCAAGGTCTACTTTAACACTTTTGAGCCTTTTCCCACTACTTTGGGTCTTCTGCTAGATGTACATCACAGCATATTATTGACATAGATATAATGCTTTTAGTGCACAGTGGAGTAAAGTTGTAAAGGTCGTCACACCCATCTCCGGTGGATTGTGTGAACATTCATAGTCATAAATCTTCATGGAAGTTATGAAAATTGAGCAATAGCCAGACTTGTCAGATAAGGCAGAGAGCTTAAAGTTAATATACCAAATCTATCCGCTCCGTTTTGAGAGGAATATACTGCTTGAACACTATTCTTTCCTTCCACAAAAGAAGAGTTGGGACACAATTAATTTTCTCTCACCAAATATAAAATTTCAGTCAATTATTTTTCAGAATCAGAGATCCCCTCAGTGCAAGTTGCACAAGTTAACACTTTGCAGTCACACAGCCAGCAGTGCAAAATATCCCATCTGGTCATCCAGACAGGAAAGTGACTGCAACGGATTTCCAAGGCCAGTCAAGTGACCGGAACAGATAATTTTCACCATCGCATTATTATGGCAACTGACCGTAAAGTGTTAAAGATCCCTTGGTCGTCCAAAATCAATAAGAGTAGGCTTCCGCCGCCACTCGGGCAAAATTCAAAAGCAATTTCTACCAAATTGGACATACTTAATGTGTCTTGAGTGCTCATGACCTTATGCAGTTGTGAGCACCATAAACATTTACCAAAATAAACTGTTCAGAATATATACTTTAACTTGGTTTTAGCACATAATAAGCATGGGCCATCAATTTGAAAAAGTAACCCAAGTTTAGCAAAATACCTGTCCTACAGGGGAACAAAAACATGACAAAGAGTTAAGTTAATACAAAATATATGCAATAATATGATCCATTTTTTTAAAAATCTGCAAACAAATTTTCCTGGAAATTTTATTTGGAAAACTAGTCTTGGCACTTGTCTTTTGACAAATGTGGCCATTTTAAAGAATATTTATTAATTTCCTTTTCTAAATAATTTTCCGAAAGTTTCAGCATGCCACAAATAACTCTACAAAGGGCCGCATTTGCCTGCAAGCTGTAGTTTGCCACCCATGGTGTTAACTCAAATCCGAAACACATATTACATAAAATGGTAATGTATGGGACATGGAAATAGTACTATAACTTTCCTTTGCAGCACAATAAGGTTATATAAGTTCTAAAGAATAGAAAAAGTGTTCCAAGAGAGTAACAAACACAAAAAAAGAAGAAAAAAAACAGGAGAGATCAGGAAAAAAGAAGTTTGAAAGGAAAGAAGGAGCAAACCACACCAGAACATCCGCCAACCAACAGCTAGGCTTCATCTACAGTCTACCATGGATAGCACGTCAAACTAAAGGGCATGGTATGGTATAAATTATAAACAACAGTTAATTCCTCTTACTCCGACAGTAAAAAAAAGGGGGTGACTATAAAATTCATAGCCTCAAGCATTCTGTTATTCAAATTTGATTCATTAGATTATAAGTAATTCAGTTTTAAAATGTGGGCAATCTATTCTAAAACCATTTCCACAAATTATTAACCAACGGAAGCTACCATGCTGTGACACAGATCAAGTGAGTAGCTAGATATTTTCTTAGAAGTGAAAAATTTGACAAAGGATACTGCTGCTGTTGCTTATAAAATATATAACCTCTTTTTTTTCTATTCCGCCTGTGCCTGTAAAGCAGGGTCAAATGAAGTTGCTTTTTTTCCTAATGACGTCTTGAATTTATGAGATAAATCGAATCATGCAATTTGAAGAAAAAAAGAGGAATAACTGTAGTCCTAGATCTAACATAGAGCATCAAGTAATAGAAGTGTTAATGTCCATTTGAGACAAAGCTGATACAGTGGGTGGATAGATTTTTTCTTCATGGTGGGCAAAAGATACCATTTTGGTACAATTTAATCAAATTCTCCCAAATCAAACATATTTGTTTTTCTAGGATACAGATCTGATGTCTGAAGAAAATAGCTCATCAGAAGGCTACTACTACACTTTGCGGAGTCAGATATTTTGTTTATGTGCAGAATGACCATAGGACTTCCTGAGCAAATTTGATTCAAATAAGAGGACTGATAGAAGGTCAATTGGAGAGTTTACTAAAACAGCCCATTAGCTCTGGATCTGCTGATTAAGGCCTTGAGAGGTCAGGGAACATGCAAGACAAGTTGATGACTCAGTGGCAGTGAAGAAAACAAAGCACTCATTATTTCTATCCGACCAAAAGTTGTAAAAAATTACCCTTCTTGTACATTTGCAAGCGTTTACAGAAAGTTACAGTAGATTTCTCCTAATTACAAGTTACACACACAATTTTTTTTTCGAAAATCCTTTACAAGTCATACGAATTATGCAGTGAAGATTAGACAGGAAGAAAGTACAGTCCAGTTTCTGTATATTTTTTTCAATCATTTTTGCACTCAAATTTTACAATCTGATCATCCAATGATTGATAAAACCCAAATCAGATCCCGGTAAATAAATTTTAACATATGCAATTAAGTTATGTGTAAGTACAAGCTTTAAGTTCCATCGAAACATGTGAAATGGTGTTTGGTTTGAAAGATGGAAGCGTTGTTTCCTGGGTCCTTTCGAGTTTTCTCTCTAAAGAGGTCATTAGAAGTAATTTCAGCTGAAATTTCATTGGATCAACAAAAATAGCATCAACTCAACTCCATACAATACAAAGCTTAACACAAAGAAATTTCTGGAGGTACTATTCGCACACAAACACAAGGGGACTAACTCCCAAACTTGCCACCCCTCTTATTTTTTTTTTTTAGTAGAGGTTTTATGGTGCTCGCAACTGCATTAAGGTCATATGAGCACCAATGGGAATCAGACTTACTCTGTTCACCTCTCATGCTTCAACAGCACAAAGTCTGCTTTGACTATCAAGGCACCCCGTAAATAGAGGGTCACAAGAGTGAGACAAACATACAAAAGAAGTAGAGGAAAAATGAAGGGGGGGTAACCCTTCTTCCATGATAAACAATAGGAGAATTCCTCAGAATCCTTCATAAAAGTCACAGTTTGGTAGATTCAGATATGAACTAATCATGGTAAATGTATGGGTATTGCAAACACATATTACCCAAATAAAAATGTGTATTTTCTGAATTTTCACATCATGTACGATGAGCCACAAAATATTGCAAATTAAAATAAACAAATCTCTTTGTATTTTCATGTAACTAAGTTGTATGTACGACCAATTGGAAACTGAATTCAAGATAATTTGAGCGAGTGGTTTTCAAATCCGATTGGGGTTCTTCAAAGGCAAAAATTATTTCGGAGAGCTCCGATATCATCAGATTACAGTCAAACCTGTGTAAGACGGCCACCCATTGTCAAGGAGAAAAGTGGCAGTAAGACAGGTGGCCGTCTTAGGCAGGACTGATCAAGATGAAGAAAGCAAATCATTCCTATCAGAGGTCCCAATCGAAAGTAGCCGCATTGTTGTTGTTTTTGTTGTTGTTGTAGGTGGTGGTTTGTATTTTGTTCGTAATCTTTATTTAGTTGCTGATTTCGCACAAGGGTGACAATAAAACGAAATGTATCAGACGAGGAAGACCAAATGCCATGTAAAAACAAACTCATGGGTCGCCACCACTCGGAGAACGAGCAACGTTTCTGTCACAAGTTCATGTTGACGTCCTTTGTTACAGACTGGGTAAACAGTGACGACTCATCTCACTTACGATTTGTGTTTAAGTTCTGGGCGGGGCTTATGGGTTATGAGGGATCACACGCTTACCTCACCAGCAGCTGAAAATTGGTAGCTATTGGTCAACTGTGGGAGGGGCCTACGCAACACGATCGGTTGGAGGGACTACCTAACAACAACGACAGGGGATTGAATTATGACGGCTCGCCCACAACGCCAGGGGCCAATGCACAATTTATGACTAAACGAAATGGAGTCACTAAGGTGGCCATCTAAGACAGGTGTTATTGCTTAGTGTGATAGGGGTGGTGTGTTGAAATAAGGTGGCCGCGGCCGCGTTGGACAGGTGCACATTTTACACAGTTAAATTATATAGAAAAAACGCAAGGGGGGAAATGGAAAGTGGCCGTTTGTACAGGTGGCCGTCTTATAGAGGTGGCCGTCAGGGCAGGTTCGACTGTACTTGGCTAACCTGCACTTCCACGTAGACGAGCAGGACCTGTCACAAAGAGCTAGTGTTAACTTGCCCAAGATGGGAAATAGCGATGGCTTGTATAAATGGGGCACCAGCAGGGGAAAAGAGGTACTTAAACAATCTGAATATGGGGGAAATTAAGACTGGCGGAGGATTTTTTAAAAAAGACATGCACCATCATGTACGGTACGTGTGATAAACATGATGGCTGTTACTACTACTACTGTAAATATCGGCCAATGGCGTACTCCTAACGTTCTCTAACTAATCGCTTGTATCCCAACCCCGTCCCTCACACACACACATACACACACACAAGACACTCATACT